AAGAGTGTGATCAAATGTCCAAGTGATTGACAACTACTCTATGAACATGAGAAAAAGAAAAACTAGAAACAATATATGGCCAGGAAAGTATAGTAGTTGGTTGGCTTCAACATTGTATTTCGTAAAATTTGCAGGTAAGCTGCATCAAACCCAAAATTATGGATCTGTTGGTTATCCTCAAAAGGCTGTTGTAGTTCCATTGGCTAATGGTATATGCTGCCGATTCCTTATTTTCTTCCCTTGTGCTTGTTCTTGTTCTTACATTTGTTGCAATTGCCTGACCTCTGTTTAACTTCTGAGATTACGTTTTTTAGGGCCTTCTCAAGTTCGTTTGCCTGTTTGTAGACTATCAAATACTACAGGTATTTACTATGTCAGATTTACAATTTGTTACTTTTTGAAAGAATGTTCTCTCCACATAATTTTCCATTTTCACAGAGTCCAGGTCAACCCCAGTATGGTGTATCGGCTCAATGCATCTATTTTCATTTATATTTGCATGTATTCTAGGTGTAGGTTCCCGCAATGATGTTCGTAAATTTATATTATTTACAGCTCAGGTTATTCCTGTTCCAAAAGTTGGCATCGAATCTCAGGCTTCCAAAGTATCTATAATAAGAAGAGATGGAAATTTTCTCTCTGTTCCCCTGAGTCAATGCAAGAGGATGATTCCTCAACCCCCTAGACCTCCCTCTGTACCCTACCAACAGCATTGCATTCCAGCTCCTGTTTCAGTCCGGCCTCCTCTCCCTGCTTCATCTTTTCACATAAAATGGCAAGGTATCTCCATTGACACTTTACAGACCATCACATCTATATTGACAATAAGTAATTTTTGAGATTCTCGAAGTTTTGGAGCAATTGGTGTCATTTGGACGTTGTTGTCTACCAAGTGTATGATCTATGTTGGCTAGATCGGCCGATCCATTTTATCTTAATGTTGCTTATTGGCTAAGTTAGGTGTTCATGAAATAATTCTTTCGATTTAAAACTACCGCAAGTGTACGGTTCGTAACAAGTAATAAAATGGATTTTAAAAAGTTCGAATATCGTCCCTCAGAAATTGAGTAGTTCAATTCTATATAATCTAGCCTTAACCGAATCTGGTTGAGTGAAAATATGGTCTAAATGCAAAAAACCCTAATTTCAATTAAGAAACCCTATTTTCAACTAAAAACCCAAATTTCTATTGAAAACCCTAATTTCTCAATTAAAAACCCTAATTTCGAAATTGCTCTAATTAAATGACTCAAACACTCAAGTAAATGAAATTATGCAAATTCAAAAGCTAATTTATGGAAATTAATCAAATTAAAGTCACTAGGATCACGAATCCCCAATTGAAGTTATAAAAACCCTAATTTCATAAAATTAATGACCCGATGAAAATTTGCCAATTCAATATTCCTAATTTTATTCAATATATTCTCTCGATATATATTAGACCTATTCCTGCACACCACCAGCATATATCTCTATGGATGATGCAAATATACAAGAATGCATGTGGTTTTGTGAACAATTAAAGAATTGCATAAAGCATAGGGGTATATCTCTATCCCCTATCAGACCCTATGTTAATTTATACCTTATCGAACCTATTCCACTTCTCTCGAATGTAAGAAATAAGTCATCAACACTCACACAATCATGGCCACTAATTGCGGAAGAAAATTAATGCATGTAAACCAATCAAATTATCCAAACGAGTCTTTATATTAAATTCATGAAATATGGAATTAAAATAACAAACAACGGTTCATCGATCACCTAGTAATTGAAAACCTAGCCTAGAAGATTCATAATTACAGAAAAAACGAAATTAATAAATAGAAAGAATAGTACCCGTATGAAAATTCTTGAAATCTTGAATAAAACCTTGAAAACCTGCTTGAATCCTTGTGAAATCGGCTTCAAGTTCGTGTTCCTTGCCTTCAAAAGTTGTATTTTTCTTCTCCCTAGACGTTCTGCCGTATTTCTGATGAATTTTGGCTTTTATATCATGTCCTCATGGAGCCCTGAAAGAGTTTCAATTAAAAACGGAAGTTCAGATTTTTCTTCGCATTTTTAAGCCATGCGGCCGCATGGTGTTAAACCATGCGACCGCATGGTTCAAATGATTTCCCCCAATGAATCCCTGCTGGTTCATGTGCGGCCGCATGGTATAGTTGTATGCGGCCGCAAGGTTGTAACTTTACAACCTTGCTATTTTGGTCCCTGAACTCCGTTTTCTCTTTTCTTGATCTCTTTTCTTTCTTTCCTTTGTTCCATTATCAAATATTGACTCCTAATTGATGTTTAGGTCAATCAATTCCTTGATCACTTGCTCGCCTCATCTTTTGATTAATTGCAATTTAGTCCTTCACTTTCACTTTTCTTCAATTTAGTCCAATGTTACTTCTTTCTTCCTCCGATCGTCTTGTATCGTCCTCAATCTCATACTTGGTATATTTTCATTCTAGTTCTTCACTTTAGCTCAACTTTCCAATATTTGCACATTTGGTCCTCGAACTATCGCTTTGTTCCGTTTTGGTCCTTTTTCGGCTCTTTTCTTCTGAATTCCATTTTTTTCATAGAAACACCTACATTGCATAAATTTAACGAGATTAAGTCACAATTCAACTACTTTGTTCATGTTTAAGTCATGTTTGTGAACTAAATAAGTGTGTAAAAACACACTTATCATTAGGCTGCAATAAAATCCACTAAAGTTTTACGTACTTCACGAAGCTGTGTGGCTTTTAGTGTAATAACTTTCTGCATGTTACGAGTGTTACAACTCACCGAAATTAAATAAGCAAGCTTTTCACGCTTATGCAGGTTTTGTTGAACCTCGTAAGACACTCAAACAGAAGTGCTATATATGCAAGAGGGATCTCTCATTCACGGCCGAAGGTCCTGTACATCAGCCTGCTGTTCCTCCATTTGTTGCCGTTCTTCCTTGTGGTCACACATTTCATGACCATTGCTTGCAAAGTATCACTCCTCAAGACCAACTGACGAATCCTCCATGCATTCCTTGTGCAATTGGTGAAACATAAAATTTCTTGAATTCTTGTTTCAGTTTTTCAGGCTACTTAAAACCAACACTTACTCGAAGGTCTTTCCTTGGATTTAGTTTAGTGACGAAGAAAAGCAAAAACAGATCTTTTGGAGACTGTACATAGATAGGGTCTCCAAGTGAGAGTACACCTGTTCGGTAAGGCTGCATTTCTATACCTGACTTTTGTGTCAGCCGAACAAATTCTACCATGTGCTTCAATATATTCTTTTGGGATCCCAAGTTACATATTTTCTTTCCAGAACTGAAAACTGTCTATTTAATATCTGTTCTGTGAATGAATAGCATTCGTACTTTTATGTGACTGCCCATTTACTCTTCATTTGAACTGAAATAAGTTGGAAGCTGCATATGTAGGAATTATTTTCAGACAAACTCTGAATATTAAAAGAAAATAAAGAAATCTGTTCATTGTATTGTTCGGTTCGAGATTCAGTATTTGTCTTCGGTTCGAGATTCAGTATTTGTCTTACTTCGGAAGCTCAGCCTTAGCTCACAACGAAGAGCTTTATGTATCAGTATATCCTTGCTTTTCAATTCCTTGCACAAAGTAGATACACCTTTTATTTAGAAGGAAATATCTTCCATTACTACTCGGATTTTCCATCACATGGATTTGATCATGGTAGAACTCTCGGAGGGGCGACCATAACTTTGCCTCCACAAGACAACTGCTTTCCAATATAAATGTTGCTTTCCAGTTGTCGCGAGAACTCGAACCTCCGATGCTTTGTATAGAACTCTCATGCTTTACCACTGCACCATGCTCCAATGTCTAATTCTCTTTAGTCGAACTATTGCTTGTTCCATCAATGAGGCCAGACTCCAATTATGCCCCTGTTTATTTAAAGAAAGACAAAGAAGATTTTAGTAGATTTTGATAAAAGTTGATAAAATTTGTGATTGAATAGCTGATAAAAGTTGTGGTAGTTTCATAAAATGTGGTTAAGAAATGTGTTATAGAAAATAGGCACCAAAAATGGGTTATATAGTATCTAGATTCGTAATGCCAACTCTATCGGCTTACACAACCTGACATTGTCTCGAAGAAAGCAAACTTATGTTAAGCGAAAGGGTCGGAAAGGAGGGTAGAATGATTCCTACGACGAAGCAGAGCCTGCTATCCCTATAATGATCTTAATCCGATAAGCAACAAACAAGAGCTCGACGACAACTCCCCTTGGCATATCGTTCCTTAAAAAAAAAGGATAAACACAAGTAGAAACATGATCCACTGTCATAGGAATTGTAATCAAACTGAAGATGTACAGCATTGGCAATGTGCATTGAATCATTGTCTTGTTACTCCTCATGTACTGATCTGCCACCATAGCTTCTTTCCTTTCTTTTCTTCATTGTAATGAATTTCTGCATAAAACTATGTTATATGCTTGCATTGAAATTGAAAAATGGTCACCTTCCAAAATATAATGTGTTTACATAAGAAAAGTGTTCGTAGGATTTATCGTCTTTCTAAATAAACCACAGCGTTCTTCTCTCCAGGAAGGGATCCATCAGCCTAAAATTACAAAGACAATGTAAAATAGTTTGTTTGTTTGTTTATTTATTTTATTAGTTTATTATTATTTTTTAAATCATTCTTCATCATAACGTTAGTTTCTTGTTAGTTCAAGTTACGTTATTACATTTTTATTAAAGAGAAATAACTGTATTTAGATTTACAAACGAAATAAAAAGGTTCATTATGTCATCAAAAGACTACAAAAAATAATTTTAATAACAAAAGAAAATTTTGGATGAAAAATTAAACAGTAAGTAATTTTTTAAATAATAAAATAGTGAAATGTAAAGTTTACATAATTAATTTATAACTATTTTTAATTTTAAATAGTGGTATTTTGGTATCTACTTCAATTTTATTTGACAAATGAAAGATATCCATCATTTAATCATACGCACCACCTATGAAAATTATCTTGAAAATAGATTATAATTAAAATAGTCTATGTTTACTTCAATTAATTTATTCGCCATAGACGGTAGTATATCAAAACATTCATTAATTTATTTGCCAAATCACAAGTATACGATATTATTACTATTATAATAATTAAATAGAGTATCATTCCATCGAACACATTGCTAATGAATATACCAAATTAATCCTAACTGATTATTTGAATTTTTCTTAAAAGTTCCTCGTAATGTGTTGGCGTTTTTTAATAAAAAATAAAGAGTAAAGTAAACTAAAATTAACGGGTGACAACTTTTTAGAAAAACTCGAAGATATGAAAGTATTGGAATTCACGATTTCACTGTAGTTATACTGATACAGAGTATTTTACCTAATGATATATAAAAAAATATTTCGTGAGTGTTGACGATCGAATTCGTCGAACTTAATTAATAACCTCTCACGAATAAAATTAAACCTACCTGATGCAAAGTCAAGACACATCTAAGCACATTCATTCACAACAAATTCATAAGCGATCTCACAAATTGTATCTCTGCTTTTTAACCAACTTCATGCTTTTTACCATTTGTGCTAAATTGGTACTTTACATCTGTATTCAACATTAACTCGAACAAATTATAAGGTGTCCGAATTTATGAGAAGTGTTCAAATTAATTAAAAAATTCAACCAAGAATCAAGTAAAAATTCGAAAGTTGAAATTAATCGATTGACTAGGCTACACCCGACGTCCCAATGAAATTGAACTGTAAAATCACATAAATTATGGTACATCACTGAGATTTTAAAGATGAAAGAAGAAATAATTGAAGATTTTGAGTTCATGTTGTAAATGTTATGTCTTAGGTCCAATTGGTCTTGGACATAAAACACCTTTAATATATGATGCATTTTATTTATATCAGATATATTATTTAATTGAATTAATATTCTAATAAATTTAATAATAGATCATGTAGATTTAAGTTTGAGTAATGCTATTTACAGTCGTTCAGTCATAGTTGCCCTATATGACATCAAATCACTAACCGTCACATGTATGTCATGTAGGACGATTACGATATTGAGTAATTGCAAATAGCATTATTCTTTAAGTTTTGATAACTTATTAACTACAAGGGTTGTGATTGTGAAATACAAATACGCATGATTGAATTTTAAATTGTCAATGGTCGTAAGTAATAACGACTACAGGTGTCGTTGTTAGGTTATATTACCAAATTCATTTCTCACTTTTAATTCGAGTAGCTAACCTCACAATCTAAAATGTATTGACATTTAAATGAAGAAGTGAAGGTTTTGTTAAAGAACAAAACATTGGAGATCTGCTCGAGAGATTTCATATGGATAACTACCTAAGTATCAATGGTTAATCTCTAATATTCGATAGTAAAATTGATTCTTTGACTCTAGGCCATCATAGTGCCTTATATAACGACAATCATGTTTTGGTAATGTTGGATGTTATATTACTCTGCCAAGAGTTGCTAACATGACATTGTTCAGATATGTTTAGAATCATATGAAGGTTATGAAAGATCAATAGATGATTCGTCTCTCTTAGATAGTAAGAAATTTTGATCTATATTTCATTCAGTTGATTTGATAATGAAATTCTTAGCCAATATGTACTGAAAAGTTGAAAAGAGGTTTTGACTTACCTAACTTAATAATATGATAAAAGATATGATCGATAATCAAGAATGACATACTTCATATCTCATAATCGATTAAATCATATTAACGAAGGGATTATAGTTTTATGGTAAACGAACAAGTTTGATTTTGACATACTACGTGACATTTTTCGTCACATGTGTCGCCCTTATATATTACTAGATATCAATTTGGAATGACAAATGTAAATTAATTAATCAAGGAGAATTAATGATAAATTAAAAGGGTATTTAATTTATCTTATTTTGATTATATCAAAATAATAATTCACGTCGTTAGGTATCATGATCGAAAACCTAATAGATCACATATAAAATGAGAACTCAAAGAATGAAATATATTAATTAATTAATTGACAAGTGTTGGACAATTAATTAATTATGTTACTTATTAATGGGCGAAATTAATTAATTAGGTTAATTAATTAATGGATCAAATTTAATTACTTAGATTAATTAAATATTGGACCGAATTAAGTCGAAGTGTCGAGCCAAGCTCACTTGGACTTTCATTAATGATCTATTAGGGTTTGAGAAATCATAAAAGATAATTCATTATCTTGCTAGCACGTTTTTCACTCCTAGATAATAAGATATTACCACCTTAAATTCATAAATTGAAACAACGATTATTGACTTAAGATCGAGATGAAAGATATGATCGATTGCACGTCTCTAGATCTCATAACTGACTGTGTTATATTGACGAAGGGATTATATTTTTACAATAATCGAATAAGTTTAATTTTGTCACACCACTTGATATTTTTGGTCACATATATTGCCTTGACCATTACTAGATTTGTAGTTAGATAAAGAAGAGAACTTAACAGGTAACACAGAAAAGGAGAGAAGTATAAGGATAAAAGTAAGAATTAATTAATTAACAAGCGTGAGGCTATATATATATATATATATATTTGAAAAACTAATTAATCGGTTTGTTTATTTATCAATCAAAATTAATTAATTAAATTAATGGTTCTACTTGTGTTTAATGAATGGATCAAGTCTAATTAAACATCTATAATTAAACAATGGTTTGAGATTCTAACTATAACAATAACAGTAGATTCATTTCTAATCTTGTTAGCACAAGAAAAGAAAAGAAGCCTTAATAACCTATTCTTGTTCTCCAATGTTGAATTCCATTAGAAGTTGAACAATTGAATAGCCGTGAAATTTGAAAAGATCATGATAAATTAAGATCCACAAAGAATAGTAGAAATCGTTGTTGATCGTGTTCAAGATTCTCAAAAGCAGTGGTAGATCCAGCACCCGACGAGGGGGCGCGACCGCGCGTGCTGGATCCACTGGTATTTACAACATGGATGCCATCATTGTTGCAAACTTCAGTCACCGCCGGGAAAAAGGCAAGAAGCTGAATGGGTTAGGGAAAGAGAAAAAAAGATAAGTTTGGACTTAGGCCATTTTTCTTTTTTTAATTTTGGGCCTTTTATTTCGGGCTTTTGTTTTTTCAAAATTAGACCCATTTGCTGTTTTGTATTATGCCTCAGCTCCCATATCATAAGACAAATTGAATTTTGTAGAAGACAGACAAAGATAAAAGGTGATGTGAACTCGCGTAGCGTGATCACTACCAAATCCACAACAAATTGAGAATCAAACCTAAGAAAGCCAAAGACAAGGTTTTGGATTAAACCCAATAAATTGGAACCAAGCAAC